TCCCCAAAGGGGCCCCCCCCTTTTAAATTTTTTAAACCCGGGTTTTTCCCCCCTTTTTCCCGTTCCTTTTTAAAAAAAACATGCCCCCCGGGGGAAAAGGGGCCAAAAAAGGAAAGGGTGAAAAAAAAACCCTTTTTTTTCCCGGGAAAAAAAACCCTAAAAAAAAAAAACCCCCCCCCCCTTTAAAAAAAAAAAAACCCCCAAAAAAAAAAAATTTTTTAAAAAGAAGAAAAAAGGTTTCCCTTTGTATTCCCCCCGTGCAAATAAAGGCTGCTTTTAATGGGTTTTTTGTTTTCTTTCACAGTTTTTTCCCCTATTTTTGGTTGCCCCTTTTTATCCATTCAGACAGGGATCCTCGTTCCAAAGAGTAACGAAAATTCAGGGTTTTTTTGGTAGCCCAAAAGGGTTTTCCTGCAGCGGGAAAAACAACTCCAAACCCCCAAGGGAAAAAGGGTTTTTAAGTTGGGGGGGGCGGTTTTTAATGGTTTCTATTGGAAGGCAAATTTACAATGACTTTTAAAGTGCCCCAATCTACCCCTTTCCCAACACGGCAAAACTGTCCTACCCCGGATGCTCCCTTTTTCCCCTAATTTGAAACACTGCTGGTGCACAGCAAATAATCAACCCCCCATGAAAAACCCCCTCCAATTCCCCGGGGTTCCTCTACGGGAAACCTCCCTGCCCACTTTGGGTTTTGTCCCAACCTGAACCCCTTCTCCCTGAAGAGCACCGAAGGAAAGAACAAAAACGGATCCTTTAGTGGGGGAAAAAAGGTTTGAGCCCTGCAAGCTTTAAACCCCCATTACCCCACTTTTTGCTACCCAAAAAGGTGGGAAAAGACTTCAGTATCTACAAAAACATTTTTTGCCCCCGTTGAAATCCCTAATTTGTGTGGAATCCAAGAATTTCAAATAGTGTTGGAAAAAAATGGGTTCCCTTTTTCCTGGGAAACCCCCTTTAGCCCACCCCTATGGGAAAAAAAAGGATTTGCTAAACAGTTTTTAAACAAACCCCCCCGGGAAAAAAACCGAACCTGGTGGGAAAAGGTCAAGGGGGACAAGGTCGGGGCTGAAAGTCGCCCACCTAACAAATTTGGGAGATTTCTGTCTCTTTAAATTTTAGAAGGGGGGATTGTATGATAATGGTCCCCGTGAAAGGGGGCAGCAGGCAGGGTAATACTGCACCACCCCTAGGGGGGCCCTTAAACCCCCAACAACAACAGTTTGGGTGGTCATGGGGCCCCAAAACCCTGGGTTTTGTGTTCTCTTATACTTTATCCATTTATCTGCGAAAGCAGATTACCCCTTGGGGGGGGGATTTTTAAATTTGTGGCCTTTTAGTTATAAATTTTCTCTTGACAAATGCAAAACTTTTAAACCCTCCCTTAAAGCCCTTTTAGATGTAATAGTCATTATATTTTGTTGTTTTCCCGAAGACTATGAAGATTCTAAGTTTTAAAAAAGCCTAGAAAGGTTTTAAAGGGCCCGTGTTTCTTTTTCAACATCTTCTTATTTGTACTTTGGGGCCCACTGCACTACAGAAAAAGCACATAAATACACACTCCCTGGGTTTTCCCTTTTATTTTCCCAAATAGGTTTTAGTTTTATTTTTATTTTTCTTATCTCCATAGGGGAAATTGGGAAAAGAAAACTTCCTTGTAAATCATGAATTTTTTGCAAGAGGTGGGCTTTAAATGCCAGGAGCAAGGGCTATAGCCCCCTTTCCCCTTTTAATTTTTTACTTAAAGTTAAAACAGAAAATTTTGTTTTTTCTTTTTTTTGGGGACTGTGCTTCGGTGGGATACGCCCGGGGTTTTTGAAAAAAAAGAATATCTATTTTAATTTTTCCTTTCCTTACATTATGTTTTTAAACCTTAGTGTTGAAACATTTTTCAAATAACAAAATTTTTTTGGGACATTGCACTCCATGACCCCCTATGGATTTAGAACCCCCCTCCTTCCTATCATCATAATAACAATAATAATTTATATTTAGGAAGTGTTTCGTAATGTATTATGTTTGTCTAGTGACCAGCAGCACAGAACCTCACTGCCCGACACTAATTCATGGTTGTCGACAGATTTTTTAAGGCAAGGAATTAGAAGCATGCACAACAACTAGGTATCTTTATTTGAAGAAGTTTTTGCCAACCTCTGACTTTTATCAATTCAATGCAGAGAAGATATGTGAAGACAGCAGATGATCAGGTAATCAGTCGCTCAGCCTTACAGAACTATATACAGAAGATAATACAAGATGAGCACCTCTGCAAAAACAGTGATTATGTGTGAGTGAGGTGAAAGTGTTGAATGATGATGAAAGTATTTTCTTTTTGGGGATTTTCTTTCTTTTTTGGGTCACCCTGCCTTGGTGGGAGACGGCCGACTTGTTAAAAAAAAAAAATACAAGATGGAGGTAATTAGTCCCTCACCTTGGAAGCCAGTGTTCATGAATATGATGAATATGCCTGGAGGGGGTTTCAAGGGTCAACACCCCCATGGCTCAGTCTGCCCAGGCCTCATGGTGGATCAGGTTTTGATCAACCAGGCAGTTACTGCTGGTCACACACAAACCAACATATGAGCCACAGGTACTGGCTTTAGGTGCCTGTCCAGCTCCTCCTTGAAGACAGCCAAGGGTCTTATTTGTAATCCCCCTTATGTATGCTGGGAGGCAGTTGAACAGTCTTGTGGCCCTTTTCACTTATTGTGTTGTCTCTTAGCATACTCATGGGGAGATGTTGCATCTCCTCCCAAGTCTTTTGCTTTCATAGAGAGTGATTTTCGTGTGCAGATTTGGGACAAGTCCCTCTAGGACTTTCTCGCCTGCATTCCAGGAATACAAATCAAGGGACTTCAGTCGTACCTAGTAATTTAGGTGCCGTTCCCAGTAATTTAGGTGCTTCACCATGAGGTCTGGTCACAGACTGGGCTGCGGGGGCATTGACCCCCCGAAACCCTCTCCAGGTATACTCCAAGTATATGTGCTGTGAAAGTTCTCTGTATATTCTCAAGGTCTGCAATTTCACCTGCCTTGAAAGGGGCAGTTAGTGTATAACAATATTCCAGCCTAGAGAGAACAAGCGATTTGAAGAAAATCATCAAATAATGCTGATGGTGACACTGTTCAAATCACTAGTGCTCCCTCACTTAGAATATTGCTCAGTGCTGACAGTCCCATGCAAAGTAGGAGAAATATTGGAGTTGGAACAAATACAAAGATCGTTTATGGCTCACATTGAGCCATTAAAGCACCTAAACTACTGGGAATGCCTTCAAGTCTTAAACATGTACTCATTGGAGTGGAGGAGAGAGAGATACATGATAATATATACCTGGAAAGTACTTGAGGGCCTGGTCCCAAATCTGCATGCTGCCATAACAACATACTGGAGTGAGAGATATGGGAGGAAGTGTAAAATAAACCCAATGAGGAGCAGGGGTGTGGTGAGGAAAATAAGGGAACACTGTATCAACATCTGAGGTCCCAGGCTATTCAACATCTTACCAGAAAATATCAGAAACACAGCTGGAACAAGTGTAGAAGCCTTCAAGAGGTAACTGGCCAAGTATCTTCACCAGGTGTCAAATCAACCAGGCTGTGGTGGATATGTGGGGCAGTGGGCCTCCAGCAGCAACAGCCTGGTTGATCAGGAAAGCACCAGACGAGCCTGGCCAGAGAGTACAGAAACTCTCGAAACTCTTCAAAGGTATATCATGGCTTGGCATCTCTAGTTTTGAAGGTTCTCATTATCCATCCTATCATTTTCCTAGCAGATGTGGTAGATACTTAGTTGTGATCTTTGAAAGCGAGATTCTCTGACATTATCACTCCCAGGTCTTTCATATTAGTTTTTTATTCTGTTGTATAGTTGCAATTTGTTTCATACTCTGAGAGTTTTAATTTCCTCAAGTTTTTTCATAGTGGAGTAATTGAAATTTGTCTTCAGTGAACTTCATATTGTTTTCTGTGGTCCATTTAAAGATTTGTTTGATGTCTGTTTAGAGATTTGCAGTGTCTTCAATGGATGACACTGTCCTGTAAATCTGGGTGTCATATGCAAAGGAGGACACGGTGCTGTCTATGTCTGATATGAGGATGAGGAACAGGATGGGAGCAAGTACTGTACCTTATGGAACAGAGCTTTTCACTGTAGCTGTCTCTGACTTTACTCTGTTTGCTATTACTCTCTGTGTTCTATTTGTTAGGAAGTTATAGCTCCATCTACCCACTTTTTTTTGTTATTCTTTTATCACGCATTTTGCGTGCTATTACACCGTGATCGCACTTGTTGAAGGCTTTTTCAGAATTTGCGTGTACTACATCTGCATTTTGTTTGTTCTCCAGAGCATCCAAGACCATGTCATAGTGGTCCATAGTTGTGAGAGGCAGGAGTAACCTGGTCTAAACCTATGCTGCCCTGGGTTGTGCAACTGATGGGTATCTAAGTGGGTGGCAATCTTGCTTCTTGGAACCATTTTAAAGATTTTTATGATGTGGGACGTTAGTGCTATCGGTCTTTATATTTTGCAGTTTCTTTACTGCCACCTTTGTGGAGTAGGATTATGTCTGTTGTTTTTAGTGATTGTGGGATGGCCCCTGTGTCCATGCTCCCTCTCCATAGAATACTTAAGGCACATGAAAGGGGTGTTTTGCAGTTCTTGATGAACACAGAGTTCCACGAGTCTGGCACTGGGGCAAAGTTATACCTGTGGTATAACTTGAGTATTTAAGCCTAGATACTCATTATTATCTAGTTCCTGCTCTTTTTCCATGCTTTTCTTTTCCAAGTCTTTATTTAATGTTCTAAACCATTTCTTTTCCTTATTACTCCTGCAGCATCCTGTTGCATAGTGCAAGAGTGATTTGGGTGTGCAATTATCAGTGTAATATGCTAAAGTTTTTTTCTGTTGCTGGCAATTATAAGCATCCTATGAAATATCAACTTGTGTATATTTGAACTTATGTTATTTTTCAGCTAAAGCCACTCTTCTTTGCAGATTGACTGTAATGACTCCCAGTCTAACTCCCAAGTGACAGCCCTGAAGTTTGAGCCTCAACATTGTAGCACCCAGAAAAATAAGACTACAACACCTGCAACTTCATCATCTGATGGACATCCAAGTGAGGCAAATAAGACCAGTAGGATAGCTCCAACTGACATGCCAAGTACCTCTGGTGAGAGTTTGGACAAGTCCATCGGTTGTACAGGTGTGAGATCCATTCCCTTCGAACCTTACACACTTCCTAGCTTGAAAACAGACACACTGTATCACGATGACATGTCAACCCAACAATTTGTTCCTGTCAAAGATGAGCCTCTCACTGCAGAAGCAGATGAAAGTTTATTAGATGTCACAGATTGTCACCCTGAAAAGAGAAGAGCAGAGGAACAAATGAACTTGCTTAATAAAAATGATGACTCTCTGTGGCATGGAGGCAAAAAGAGGAAAATTGGGAATGAGAACAATGGACTTACAAAAACTGAGAGAAGCTTAATTAATAATAACCAGAGAACAAATACTTTTGTACACAGTGTAAAACAGGAACAGGCAGAGGAGGACAATCTTTTTGACTTGCCAACAACAAGTGAAAGAGTTCAGAGAAGAAGAGCAGGCAGTCAGGTAGGACATTTAATCATTTACTTGATAAGAAAAAATATATACAAGTTTTCCATGTAAACCATAGTTATCAATGAAGAGGTGTGTGAAAATTTAAAACACTCCTTTTATAATTTCTCTGGTTTTGGTAATAATGGCATTACATTTTAATATTTGCAGAACATTGTGAAAGAACTTTGTCTCTGTTATATCCTGTATATTTCTGAGTTTGCTCTTTTTAACCAATTTGATCTTTGCCTATGTCCTCACAGTCTGCTCTCAACTTTTGTCTTAGTTTAGTGGTTTTCTTTTTGTTACCATCTTTCTCCATTCTAAATCTTACTAAACCATCTCAACAACCCCTCCTCAGCTCTCTTGGTGACCCAACAATGCCTGTTAATTTCGTCAGTCTGAATTCTCTACATTACATTCACACTGCACATCACTCTCAAGCACATGAGATCTTCACTGCCTCTAGCTTCCTCCTTGCTGCAGAGTACAAAACCCATGCCTCACACCCATATAAAAACGTTGGTACCACTATACTCTGGTACATTGCCATTTTTGTCTATAGATAAACTTACCAAAGATGCCTCAACACACCATCCATCCTCTCATCTGTTCTGTGGTGTATCTCATCTTTCATATACCCATCTGATGACATATCTGCTCACAAATATCAAAATACATCGACTTCCTCCATACTCTCTCCCTCTAATGTGATATTCAGTTTATCATTGCCTAGACTTTTTTGTTATCCTCATCACCTTACTTTTTTTCTGTATTCACTTTCAGTTTCTTTCTTTTACATACCTACCCAGATTCATCCCTCAACTTTTGCAGCAGGTCTTCAGAATCCCCCTAAAAAGAACTATGTCATCAGCAAAGAGCAGCTCTTATAACTCCCACTTTGTATCAGATCCTACATCTTTTAATCTCACACCTCTTCCTAACCCCCTGGCATTCACTTCTTTTACAACCTCATTTATAAATATGTTAAGCCACAAATGCAGTAAACAGGTTTTTACCCTAATCTTGTATAAATGACTGTGTTCTATCATGTTTTCTGCAAAGAAAAAAGTTAATTGTTCATGGTAAAATAGAAAATTAATAGCCTTGTGCCAGTTTTATATTTCAGAACTTTGATATAAAAACCTTCCAGTTTGACATGTTGTAGTGATTTTTTAATATTACAGTATGTTAATATTGATGAATCAAGGATTGATTCATCAGGAATGGAGAAACTTGTAAATCATCATTTCTCAACAAACTGGCCATATCCCACTGAGGCAGGGTCTCCCCCCCCCCCCCAAAAAAAAAAAACTAAAGTTTCTTTTTAAATTTAGTAATATATACAGGAGAAAGGGTTACTAGCCCCTTGTTCTCGGCATTTTAGTCGCCTCTTATGACATGCTTGGCTTATGGAGGAAGAATCCTGTTCCACTACCCCATGGAGAAAACTTATAAATACTTTCATAATACAGCCTCTCCTCACTTAATGACGGAGTTCCATTCCTAAGACCACGTTGGTAGACGAATTCATTGCTAAGTGAGGAGCATATTATAATGGTAGTGGGTTTGTGTCAGCCATCATTGATATTATTTTAATGCTACCTTTACACCACTTATAACATTTTTAGTATATTTTTCAATGTTTATACAGTAGTGTACTGTATATTGTAATAAACAGAATAGAGGAAATCAACTCTAGTACACATTTAGGTATACATACTGGTCAGAGAGCCCGTCATAAGTCCAAAGCATCAGTAAACGAGTAAGTTGCTAAGTGAGGAGAGGCTATAATAATTAAAGATGTGAGGAAGTGAAGAACAAGTAAAATGCCAAAGTAACAGTTGTTTAAATAAATGAAAACATCAGGGAACAGAATAAGTGACATCATAAAAGTAAGAGAGCAGTTGTGTTTGAACAAAATTAACAGGAGTAAAAACTTGGGACCTCCAAATATAATTATATAAATAAATGATGGTTTATATAGCTAATGCTCAGAAATGTTTGTGTACTGTAGTATTTGGGACACTTCTACATGAACCATAATGGATATTGCCAGATGAAATAGATATATGACTAGGAGGTGGAGGTATTGTTAAGTAACTTGAAGAATTTATTAGAAAAACAGAATGATTTTTATACATTTCAGAGTGCTGCTGCAGCAAATTCAACAACTGTGAATGTCAGAGAGCATATTCCAGATGATGAGCTCTTTGCCTTGCCTACATCATCTCGATCAGAGCGCAGGAGGAGACAACTTGATCAGAAAGCCGAAGATACACGAGCACCTCAAGAGGGCAATCGGTCAGAGCCAGCGAAGGCAACCCAAGCTCCGATTAATAATCCCTGTAGGGGCAGTGTAGAGCAGAAACAGAAGATAGTGATTGTTTCAAATGAAGGAGACTTTATATCAAAGGTAAACAATTAGGTATCCTTGGAAGGAAATGCCTTGAAACATTCAAAAAGTTTATTTTGTTGTTTTCATCTTCTTTTTTCCTGCATTTTTTGGTTTCACATGTATGCTGGGATCAGTCAACAACAGTGACAGTGTATAGAAATGGCTTAGGGAATGGCAGACTGGTTGGTAACTAGGGGGATTTGTCTTGATGTCTATATACATATTTTTTTTTTATTTGAGTGTCTGATGGAAATTATGGATGGCTGAAGTCTTCTAATTGCAACCCCTCCCCCTATCCCCATCTTTCCATTGGCACCGCCACTGGTTAGCAATTAGTAGCATGTTCAAACATGAGCATCCATCTCCCTTCCTTCCATCCCTCAGTCATAATAAATTAGTTTGACAGTTCAAATGTATACTAGTATTTGATTATCAATAAATTCACAAAAAATGCACTGGAGTGGCTTAGCGATGTTAAAGTGATAATGCCTGATCTCATATTTTTGCTATTAGGAAGTCAGAGGCATGAGTATTGCTTCCAGCACTTGATGGCTTTCTGATTTTTACTGTTTCACATCTTCATTAGCAGCTGTTACTATATTATGTGTCATAACTACAACAGTGTTTGATAAGTAAATGCAAGGAAGAGAAATTACCAGCAAAGATTACTGGCAGATTGGTGGGTGGCAGGCCACTTCCATCCTACTGGGAGAGGGATGGGGCAGACTTGTTAGTAGGGTGACCAGGTACATTTTCTTGACCATAATTATGGTAAAAGAATATGGGCATCTTTCATCTGATGTAGGAAAATTTTATGTAAGTGGGAGTTTTTCTTTTGCTCATAGACATTTTTATGTAGTGCAGGTGAAAAATTACACCTGGAAATACTGGAGGGACAGGTTTCAAATCCTCACACAAATATTTCCTTACAAGAGTGGGAGGCATAATATTTGTTGCAAAATATACCTAATGAAAAACAGGTGCAGTAAGTACATAAGATAGCTGGGTATGCATTAAGAGTATATGGGTAATTACCAATTGTCTCCTATCTTCAAGAGGAAATTTATCAAGATGCTCCAAACTTTTCTGGAGCACCTATTCTGTTGTGCCCATGTTGAGCTGCATGCTAGGATCTGTGACAGCCTGATTGGTCAGGTCATCAACCAGAAGGTCTAATCTAAGACAAGACTTTAGGGAGTGATTATCTCCAGAATCAAATACAAGTAAGTAGGAAGTCTTATAGAACAGATTATTTTAAATATGACCTTATATTCCATCAGGGAGTTAATCAATCCATGAGGATTGTCTTAGTTTTGTACTCACCATTGCAGAAAAGTATCTCCATTAAGCGAAGTCCAAGCGAACTAGAGGCAGCAGCCCAAACTGGTATGCCTCTGCCAGGGGTGATCAAACATGGAGATGTTGCAGAGCTCAGTGGTGCCATGGAGAAATCTCTGGTGGTTGTGGAAGTAGCTTCTCTTGTGAGGCGAAATAATAGAATTTCTGCAGAAACCTCACTCAATCAGAACTTTGGTGGACTTCAAAATTACAAGAGATTTAGAAAGGTAATTTTTTCAAATTGTTGCCATTTGTCTTTTGTCAGTATTTTATTTTATTTATTTATTTATTTTTTTTCAACAAGTCGGCCGTTTCCCACCGAGGCAGGGTGACCCAAAAAAAGAAAGAAAATCCCCAAAAAGAAAATACTTTCATCATCATTCAACACTTTCACCACACTCACACATTATCACTGCTTTTGCAGAGGTGCTCAGAATACAATAGCTTAGAAGCATATACGTATAAAGATACACAACATATCCCTCCAAACTGCCAATATCCCAAACCTCTCCTTTAAAGTGCAGGCATTGTACTTCCCATTTCCAGGACTCAAGTCCGACTATATGAAAATAACCAGTTTCCCTGAATCCCTTCACTAAATATTACCCTGCTTACACTCCAACAGATCGTCAGGTCCCAAGTACCATTCGTCTCCATTCACTCCTATCTAACACGCTCACGCACGCTTGCTGGAAGTCCAAGCCCCTCACCCACAAAACCTCCTTTACCCCTCTCTCCAACCCTTTTGAGGACGACCCCTACCCTGCCTTCCTTCCCCTATAGATTTATATGCTTTCCATGTCATTCTACTTTGATCCATTCTCTCTAAATGACCAAACCACCTCAACAACCCCTCTTCTGCCCATTGACTAATACTTTTATTAACTCCACACCTTTTCCTAATTTCCACACTCCGAATTTTCTGCATAATATTTACACCACACATTGCCCTTAGACAGGACATCTCCACTGCCTCCAACTGTCTCCTCGCTGCTGCATTTACTGCCCAAGCTTCACATCCATATAAGAGTGTTGGTACTACTATACTTTCATACATTCCCTTCTTTGCCTCCATAGATAACGTTTTTTGACTCCACATATACCTCAACGCACCACTCACCTTTTTTCCTTCATCAATTCTATGATTAACCTCATCCTTCATAAATCCATCCGCCGACACGTCAACTCCCAAGTATCTGAAAACATTCACTTCTTCCATACTTATTATTATTATTTTTTATTATCACACTGGCCGATTCCCACCAAGGCAGGGTGGCCCGAAAAAGAAAAACTTTCACCATCATTCACTCCATCACTGTCTTGCCAGAAGGGTACTTTACACTACAGTTTTTAAACTGCAACATTAACACCTTCTCCTCCCAAATTTGATATGCAATTTTTCTTTATCTAAATCATTTGATACCCTCATCACCTTACTCTTTTCTATGTTCACTTTCAACTTTCTACCTTTACACACATTCCCAAACTCATCCACTAACCTTTGCAATTTTTCTTTAGAATCTCCCATAAGCACAGTATCATCAGCAAAAAGTAACTGTGTCAAATCCCATTTTGAATTTGATTCCCCATAATTTAATCCCACCCCTCTCCCGAACACCCAAGCATTTACTTCTTTTACAACCCCATCTATAAATATATTAAACAACCATGGTGACATTACACATCCCTGTCTAAGACCTACTTTTACCGGGAAGTAGTCTCCCTCTCTTCTACACACCCTAACCTGAGCCTCACTATCCTCATAAAAACTCTTTACAGCATTTAGTAACTTACCACCTATTCCATATACTTGCAACATCTGCCACATTGCTCCTCTATCCACTCTATCATATGCCTTTTCTAAATCCATAAATGCAATAAAAACTTCCCCACCTTTATCTAAATACTGTTCACATATATGCTTCAATGTAAACACTTGATCTACACATCCCCTACCCACTCTGAAACCTCCTTGCTCATCCGCCATCCTATATTCTGTCTTGCCTCTAATTCTTTCAATTATAGCCCTACCGTATACTTTTCCTGGTATACTCAGTAAACTTTTTTTTTTTTTTTTCAACAAGTTGGCCGTCTCCCACCGAGGCAGGGTGACCCAAAAAAGAAAGAAAATCCCCAAAAAGAAAATACTTTCATCATCATTCAACACTTTCACCACACTCACACATTATCACTGTTTTTGCAGAGGTGCTCAGAATACAACAGTTTAGAAGCATACACATATAATTTTTACAATCTCTTTTGTTCCCTTTCCCTTTATATAAAGGGACTATACATGCTCTCTGCCAATCCCTAGGTACCTTCCCCTCTTTCATACATTTATTAAACAAGAGTACCAACCACTCCAACACTATATCCCCCCCTGCTTTTAACATTTCTGTCATGATCCCATCAGTTCCAGCTGCTTTACCCCCTTTCATTCTACGTAATGCCTCACGTACCTCCCCCACACTTACATTCTGCTCTTCTTCACTCCTAAAAGATGGTATACCTCCCTGACCAGTGCATGAAATTACCGCTTCCCTTTCTTCCTCAACATTTAAAAGTTCCTCAAAATATTCTCGCCATCTACCTAATACCTCCCTCTCCCCATCTACTAACTCCCCTACTCTGTTTTTAACTGACAAATCCATACTTTCCCTAGGCTTTCTTAACTTGTTTAACTCGCTCCCAAATTTTTTCTTATTTTCATTAAAATTTCTTGACAGTGCCTCTCCCACTCTATCATCTGCTATCTTTTTGCACTCTCTCACCACTCTCTTTATCCTTCTTTTACTCTCCATATACTCTGCTCTTCTTATAACACTTCTGCTTTGTAAAAAACCTCTCATAAGCTACCTTTTTCTCTTTTATCACACCCTTTACTTCATCATTCCACCAATCATTCCTCTTTCCTCCTGCCCCCACCCTCCTATAACCACAAACTTCTGCCCCACATTCTAATACTGCATTTTTAAAACTATTCCAACCCTCTTCAACCCCCCACTACTCATCTTTGCACTAGCCCACCTTTCTGCCAATAGTCGCTTATATCTCACCCGAACTTCCTCCTCCCTTAGTTTATACACTTTCACCTCCCTCTTACTTGTTGTTGCCACCTTCCTCTTTTCCCATGGTGCTTCTCATCCTACCATTAAGTTTGTGAACAGTGGGGTTACAATCATAGTGCTTCTCATTGTAACATATTATTATAATAAAAAATAAACACTAAACCCACAAAGTCATTGTAGCATAGAGTACAGTGGTACCTTGATATTCGAACTTAATCCGTTCCAGAAGTCTGTTCGAATAGTTATAGAAATGTTGAATCAGTTTTTTCCCTAAGAAATAATGTAAATTGGATTAATTCCTTCCAGACCCCCAAAAAATTACCAGTTATAAGACATTTTAAGTGAAAACATTGCTTATTTAAACCTGTACAATAATACATTGGAACTTCGGGTTTCAAATTTAATTAATTCTGGATGTTGATTCGACAGACAAAATCGATGACAACCAAAGCAATTTTTCCTATAAAGAATAAACAGCATTAACCCATTCCAGACCCCAAATGACAACATAATAATATACAGTAGACTGTCGTTTAACACATTTTGGTTATAGCACTATTGAAGAATTGCGGCATATTTTTGTATAACACTTCATAAAGTTAACATGGTTCAGTTTGTGGGAGGGGAAAAAATTTGGAGTGATACCTGCGGGATGCACTCTTCTTGGCTATGGGTTAAGAATAATAATAATAATACAATGGACCCCCGAGTTTCGTGATTAATCCGTTCCAGAGAGTCTGCCGAATGGCGAAACCATTTTCCCCATAAGAAATAATGTAAATCCAATTAATCTGTTTCAGACACCCAAAAGTACTAGTCTCCCTCCACATTCGCGAGGGTTAGGGGATCAAGAACCTCGCGAATGTTTGGTGCACAATTTTTTTTTTTTTTATCAACAAGTCTGCCGTCTCCCACCTAGGCAGGGTGACCCAAAAAGAAAGAAAATCGCCAAAACGACAATACTTTCATCATCATTCAACACTTTCACCTCACTCACACATAATCACTGTTTTTGCAGAGGCACCGAGATACAACAGTTTAGAAGCATATATAAAGATATATTACACATCCCTCCAAACTGCCAATATCTCAAACTCCTCCTTTAAAGTGCAGGCATGAATATATTGTAGGGAAATATAATAATAGCATTTACTTAGCCTAACAATACTGCTTCCTTAACCTGTTGAACCATGAACAATCATAAAACACATGAAAACATCGTGAAATATTGTACTACTGCCAGCCTTTTGGTAAAGAAGGTGAGAAAGAGTATAGAATTCAAGAAAGAACTCATAGCAGAGTACCAATGTGGAGGAGGAGGAGAGAGGGGAGAATGTGCCTTTGTCAGTGATTCTATGATATTAAAGCAGCATGAGTCGATAAAGGCTATAGCACCAGCCAGCGATAAAGTGTATCATTAACAGCGTAGCAAGTAAATTAGGCGATTAATCGATAGAAAAAGGGCAGCACAAACCTAACTCCTCCAGTGTTGTTGGAGTTATATAGGGCGACTGACAACACCGCCGTCTCTGCTGCTGCCTTCACCACCACTATGTAAGGCTTATGCTCTCAGTGGCCCTTATGCACCCAACAACAACAACACAGCAACACTCGTGACATACTTAATGACGTATTTTATTCATTCTAGAGTATATGTCATGTTTCTATGTTATTAATATTGTTTGTCATATTAGACAAATTGTGATAGATAAATAAGCCGTAGAGTTGACTTTTTTTATTTATTATCACACTGACCGTTTCCCACCAAGGCAGGGTGGCCTGAAAAAGAAAAACTCTCACCATCATTCACTCCATCACTGTCTTGCCAGAAGGGTGCTTTACACTACAGTTTTTAAACTGCAACATTAACACCCCTCCTTCAGAGTGCAGGCACTGTACTTCCCATCTCCAGGACTCAAGTCCGGCCTGCCGGTTTCCCTGAACCCCTTCATAAATGTTACTTTGCTCACACTCCAACAGCACGTCAAGTATTAAAAGCCATTTGTCTCCATTCACTCCTATCAAACACGCTCATGCATGCCTGCTGGAAGTCCAAGCCCCTCGCACACAAAACCTCCTTTACCCCCTCCCTCCAACCTTTCCTAGGCCGACCCCTACCCCGCCTTCCTTCCACTACAGACTGATACACTCTTGAAGTC